GGACCCTAATTGTAGAGAACTGCCCAAATCTTAAACCCCTGAACCGCAAGCCCACAAGCCCCCGGTAGCTGAGGACCGCGATGAGCACGAGGGGCACGAAGAATTCGATGCTGATGCCAAGGAGGGTTTCGGACTTGGGGGGGGGGGGGGGGGGGGTAGTTTAGGCTTAGGGTTTCGGGTTTAGGGTTTTTTGAAGTGTTTCGGGCTAGGGTGTGGGGCGTAAGGGTTAGGGCGTCAGGCCTTCAGTATTTAGGGCTTAAGTGTTCAAAATGCTGGTGGGGGGTGTGTTTACGGCTTCGAAATTGCTGGGGTCAGATGAGGACCAAAAACTAGCAACCCTTGAAACCCACAGAGCGTTTGAGTTTGTTGGGATTCGGACATGCTTTAGGCGAGACGAAAGAGTACAAGGCCTTAGAGACGGAGGTCGCCATACCCTGAAACACCCGTGTCGGCTCGGACTGGCTCTGTGCACCCATGAGGGGAGCCACTTGTCGGTAGCATACTGCTCCTCTGTTTGATCATTTTGGTCCGTGCGTTTAGTAATTAAGTTGCGGATCCTGATGGACACAGGAGAAAGAAAACATGTAGCATGGTTCCTCAAGTGCGTCTGAGTCTGGCCAGCTGCACCACAGTTCCGCAATATGTTGGCAGAAGCGCGAGGTTTCGGCCCCGTGCTCTTACACACTTTAAAGCCTGGTTGGTATTTCATCAGGACAGTTGGACACAACTATTCAAGTAACTCTTCTTATAGTTGAAGGTCATGCCGAAATCAAGAAACCCTGTTGGGGCCTCAACCCTCCTACCGCCATCTGCTCAATGCTTGGCAAGTAACCCAAACCATAATGCCCAGAGGCCTCTTCTTCTGCCCAAACCAGGAAACTCCGAACCCCAGTCCTCAATCCATCCCCTTTGGAACCACCCCTAAAAAACCTCAAGCCTTCAGCTTCCTGAAACGCTAAGCCTAAACCAGGACGATGCCATGCTGGATCGCTTTGACAAGTTCTTGGACGCCCAGCCTCTTGGCCGTCAAGGATTCGGGAGGGGGCGTGGCCCAGTTAAATGTTTGAGTTCTAGAAACTGCTCAGCCCGCAGGGCATAGGGACCCGCGGTGGCTTGGAGTCCACATGAAGGGTCGACATGTTCATTGGTTTCGGGTGTGCTCGATCCTGGCTCCGGGCTGTTCGATGGTTCGGAGGGTGCTTGCCACGCGCACGTGTCCTGTTGCGGGCTGAAAAGCTTGTTTTTGAAGGGACTGGACTTACTTGGAACTTTCAAAACAGGCGAGGCTTACGGAACTGAATGCATATGGATAACAAGGTACCCCTAGGTTTCTCAAACCCCCACTCTACACCCCATGCTCCATAGCCCCCAGGGACCCCTCAGCACCAAAACCCTGAACGATGAAACCCCGAAACTTTAACCCCAAATAACTCATCACTTTAAGAATAACAAGGAGCCCTACAAAGGAAGGTTTGATAGGGTCCCGGGAGACCCCAAAACGAAACCCTCAATCATCACCTCAATGGTTCGATCCAAGCAGCCCGTAACTGACTGCCCTGTGCACCTACTTGCTGAAGACTTTTCAACAAGCCTAAAGTAGGTACTGTAGGTACTATTCATAGCCTTTTAAGACCCCTGAAGTAGGTACTATTCATAGCCTTTTAAGACCCCTAAAGTAGGTACTATTCATAGCCTTTTGAGACCCCTAAAGTAGGTACTATTCATAGCCTTTTCGGACCCCCAAATCAGGTACTATTTATAATTTATAGCGTTTTGGACCCCCAGAGTAGGTACTATTCAGAGCCTTTTCGGACCCCAAAGTAGGTCCCAGCTGTTTACTTGGATACTTTGACATTCAGGAGATGTAGTGGGTAGCTCTTTACGTCCTCTTGGGTTCTAGGCAAATATCTGACTGAGTCTCGTGGTTCTTTAAGTAGGGTTTAGGGTTTAGGCAGGGCCCTTTCGACATGAGATTCTCCTCAGGCTCTGGGTGTACTGTCATCTAGCATCCTACTGTAGCGCAAGGCCGCGCAGTAGCACAGGAGCTTTGAAATGGTGCAGGACTGGAAATCGTGTTCGGGCCGCCAAGGCTGACCCGAACCCGAGTCTGTATAAAAGAAGCTTCAATAATTACAATAGTATTCCGTAGGGTTGCCATTATCAACATGTAGTATACAGTAGTAACTCAGTATTATATACTCTGTCGCGAAGCTCTGTCCTAATGATTAAGGCTCCCCAGGTGATAAGCCCCGAGCTCTACACCTCCCAGGCAGAACCCTGAAACCCTTAAAGCTTAAGTTTGAAACCCCAAACCGTAACAAAACCTTCAACCCTAACATCGCCGAGGCAGAACAAGATCCTGAGAGCGAGGTCGCTTCCGTTCACGGCCCCTCGTCAGAGCATCTAGGATACCTGTAGAGGTCGGAATAACTAGTGGCCAGCACTACTGTGCCCTTATAGCTCCCATGTAACTGGTACTATGATATAATATAGAAGCCTCAATATTTACCCATATATTTTCTTAGGGTTCCTTATTACCATTATACCATAGAGGAGTGAGAAGCCCTATTCTAATTATGAAGGCCCCTACATTATGCCAGAACCCTGAACCATACATTAGAGGCGGGTTCGATGGCAGAAGGCTTGAGTTCATGGTTCCAGGCTTGCTTTCTCGTCTCTGGAAAGGGTTTAGGGCTCAGGGAGTTCAAGGAGCACAGTGGTTTGGGTGGCTTTGATTTCTTGGCAACCCGAACACCTTCTGCAGCTAAACTTAGACTTTTACTGCAAGTCCCAATTCCTACATCAACACACGATGTTTGCACGACGGTAAAGCACACCCAGAAACGTACTCGATACCTTTACACCCCTACGCCCCTGCGCCAGACCAAGACTAAGCTGAGGTGATCAACTACTTGGAGATACCTCAGCCGCGAACGATGCACATCGAAGCTGTCCTGTCGAGGTGTCCTGGACTTCGGGATGAGGGGTTTCGAGGGTTTGGTGGCTTTGACATTGAACCCTAAACTCTAAGACCCCAAGACGACATAAACCCTGACATTACAGCTTTGATTCTGGGGTTTGGAGTAACTGCTGGGTTTGAGGTCGTTCGGTCTTCGGGCTTGCATTTGGGATGTCGGGACTTCGTAGGCGAGCTAAGCATGACCCATTGCCTTTCGGCTTGCTTCGGCTCCAGTCTTGCAAGGGACGCCGATCCAGAGAACTTAAGTCTGCCGCGGAGCCTTGCCAAATGTGCCGGGAGAGTCCAGAAGAGTAAAACTCGGTGAACCCCAACCGCGACGTGAGGCGCACACACACACACACAGACTCAGAGGCAGATACGAAGAACAACGGACAATGAGATGTCATGGCTCGCCGTCCAACCCAGGCTCCAGACTCCTACAGTAGCGAGGGAGAGTGGAATCTGGAAAGAATTCCCTGCCTGCTCTTTCGGTAGATACGGGGCTCACCAACGATAGTCATGCAACGCCCTTGCTGAACCAAACCACTTCCAACCCAGAACTTCCAGTGGCGCTGGACATCGTGGCTTTTGGGATTTTCAAGCTCCTGCCGTCCAGGTTGGTCCCCGGCCACAACCACAGCGACAGCGGCACGGTGCCCCTCAAAAGGGTAGCGTGGCTTTGATTCTGGGGGCGCCGTCTCCTTCAGTAGAAGCACACGAAACATGTCGACCACACACAATTACATGATCATGATGATGATGACGATGAGGGTGATGGTGATGACGATGATGATGATGGTGATGACGATGATGATGATGATGATGATGATGGCGCTGATTGTATGATGATCAGAGCGATGATGGCAGCGATGGCCGCGACAGCCGCCTCCATGCTTCTGGCGGCGAGCTTGATGACAGCTTGGAGAGTGAAGATGCCTTCGACATCCCTGAACTCTAAAGCCTAAACCCTCAGCCAGGCGAGAGCGGAAAAACAAAAGAATCAGCATCTTTCGCGGGTTGTCAGCACCTATAAGCCTTAATGAGTACCTTTACCACCTTCTTACTTGAAAAAGGGAGCTTTCCCGCTCCCACCTGGACCTATAGCATCCCTGGTACACTGGTTTTTTGGTGGAACCAATGTTGTAGTTAGGATCCTATAAGGCAACCCCCAAAAAGGAAGTACAATGGAGATTATCGGCAACTTACTGTGCAGTGGACCCGTGGTTTTGCGTCAGTTTGGGGTGCGGAATTTCCCTAAACCCCGCATGATTATAGAATAGGATTTAGGGTTCGTTCCGGGCGAGAGCAGCCTGCTTCAAAAGGGTTTAGTGGGATATGCTATACTATACTTCTAGTAATTACGAACCCTAAGGAATAATACGGCTAATTATGTTATACCATACTTACAGTAGGAACCCCCAAAAACAGTTTTAGTAAGTACAATTGATAAGGCTTTTCATTCGGGTTTGGAATGTTGAGCTCTTCCACTTTACGGACTTATGGGTCTGCCTTGCCTTACGAGGCGGGTATCGTGCAGGCTAGCCTCCTATTTAAGCAACTTGCATCAAGGAGATCCTCATCTACAACCATAACACCGCCATAGGCTTGTCTATACCCTAAACCCTGTCAACTTTGAAGCCTGAACACTGTACCCTAAACTCCTGTATATACTTACTTCTACTAAGCCGAAACCCTAAACTCTACAGCAGCGATCTACAGGAGGGTCTCCCACGCAGTTGCTCCCTTTTGGGCTGAAGTGTACTTAAACGAAAGCTTGCTGAAGAGTTGAGGGCTAGGTACGATTGCGGCGCGGGGGTTTGGGTTTGAGTGTAGGGGTTTGGGCTTAGGGAGTCAGAAAGGCCAGGGATTTCGTAAGGCTTATAGTCGTCTCCATTGTAGTTCCTTTCTTTGGTCACGTTCTAGGATCCTGAATTTCGAGTCAGCTAAACAACTACAATGGAGACTATATGAAAATTGAAACTCGGTTCAAGGCAAAGCTGGAAGAGCTGGCGGCGAAAGGGCCCGCGGTCACCAAGGAGCAGGTCAGGCCGTCGAAGGATTTGGAGTCATTATCCGGTTTTGGGGTTCAGGGTTTAGGGTTTAGGGAAGTTTAGGGTTTAGGTTAAGGGTTTAGGGAAGTTTAAGCTTAGGTTTCGGGTGTACGGAAGTTCAGGGTTTAGGTTCAGGGTTCAGGGTTTAGGGTGCTTATCCTAGGTCCTGCAGTAGGTCGCATCCTTGAATAGCCGGCGAAGCTTGATGATTGAAGTGAGGTTGGGTAACCTAGTATTGCAAAGTGCCTGAGACAGGGTTGTGTCTCGATGTGTGGATGTAATTTCATCGTTGGCTGATATAGCTCTTGGACTCTGACTCACAAATCGAAGCTTCAACCCAAAATGCCACGGGCCTTCTCATCGAAGCATTCAAGCTAAAGTGTCAGCCACCTTTTGTGCGTCAAGCCTTCATAGCATGACTCCTTTACTACGCATCCGCACGACGGTTCCAACAACCTACGTAGAGCTTTTCAAGCGAGACCGTCAGACACGCGGAATGAGCTTCATCAAGTTTCAGTAAACTCTACACCCCAAACCCATAAACCTTGTAACTGTGATCCAGTGTTGCAGGTGGAAAAAGGAGCTCAAACAAAAAAACCCTAAACCCACAAGCATCCGGAAATGTTCAAATCCGGAAGCTCGCGCCTCGTAGGTGGAGTTCATCGACTGGTGGGGGAGCAGGCTCAGCTACGAGGGGAAGATGCTACGGTGCAACCGCAGTGGCACAATTCATCCGGATGATGATCCGAGCGGAGGAGCTAGCAAGCTGTGATGACTTCTGCGGCAGGAGAGTATCGATGACGAGGCGAGTTGTTCCAACAGTCCAGCTATGCTCAGGGAATCACGAGTGCATCCTAAGAGGTGAAACCTCAAACATAGTTCGCACGTCCCTCCAAACCCTGAAATGACTGAAGGAATCTGAACGACGCTTGCGGACTATCCCGAACATCACCAAGCACATGCGCATTCTCGAACGGAGTTCGCTGAACTGCAGCCACGGGAGCGCGGACTGTCTGCTGAACGCCTGAGTGGCTTGAGTCCCTTAGAATCCTTAGATCCGTAGAAGCCGCACCAGGATTTACAGCGCGGAGATCCGTTGCGGTAAATACAACCTGTGGCTCCAATTTGCAACATTTTCGGGGGTCATACCTTGTAGTTCACTGCTCAGAACCTGCCCTGCTGGAGGCTATCTTAAGACGCAGAATTTATCTGCAACAGCGTGGCAATCATGGTTTTGTAGGAGTAGCAACTGCGTATTAAGTTATGCCACACGCAAGTAGCCAGATGTAGACGGCATCCTTCAACAACCACTTGCAAGAACATAAGCGGCACGACCATCAGTTGTATATCTGTCCGCTTTCGAGCCAAACAGTACATAGTCTCGCGGAGATATCCAGCCAGCATTTAATTCTGCTCGTGAAACCACCCCAGGATCCGTCTACGACTGCCTTGAAATCCTCTGAGCCTTGACCCACAAGGGAGTTTAACGAAACACGGGACACTACAGACATAGTGAGATCCCCCTGAAATACCCTTGAAGTGCGACCCTGGACGCAACCACGCCTTGGATCTCCAACTCTTCTGCTTCAATTGGTCCAGCCTACGAACACCCCCACCTGGTCTGTAAGCAGATTTCAGGAACTTTAGGATTTAGGGCTTATAGGGTCTATAGGGTTTAGGGCTGTTTAGGGGTTCGGGGACTCTTGGGGCTATGGGGATCTTAGACCTCAAGCTGTATCGGTAGGGAGCCGGCTTGCGAGTTCGAAGCTACAGCTGACATCTGCGGAGCAGACTTGCGACCATCCAAAAAGGTGATAAAAATCAGCTCTGAAGTGGGTGTTCCGCCGTTTCATCCGTGAGGACCTAAGGTTGCAGGACCCTCAACCCTGAAGCTTTGTGCCGCTGAAGGGTTGCTGTAAGCGGATCTGCTTGCTTCGAGAGAGTTTGCACGGTTTGAGGATTCGGCCTGTTTTTGGCTGCACTCTGAGCTTCAGGGTCCGCGCAAGACGTTTGAAGAGTTGCTTTGCGGTGAGCTTCCCGAGATGAAAGCCTTTGGCCCATTCAGTTCAGGATTCTGGATGTTTGGCACTGGCGGTTTTTACGGCTGCAGTTCGGGGCAGGCAGGCAAGTTGGATTGCTGGAGGGCTTGGGTGCATGGAATTGGCTCCGCGCCACAGCTATAGTATACTACACAGACTGATAGGCCTTACTTGCCTTGTTGATTCTGGGGAATGCCCGACCTAGAAAGGGCAGACTACACCCGAAAGCCCTATTCAACTGAATTTCAGCCCTAACTATTGATTGTTGTGTTGCCCAGCAACCTTGCACCCGGTGCACATTCCCACGTTTTGCTGCCGGGACATCAAAGTAGACGGCCGGGCGAAACCAAAATCCCTAAACGACTGTGGTGCACACATGGATCCTCGCCTGGCTTGTCCGAGTTGTGAGAGTGTAAAACCCTAACCCCTAAACCCGAGCTAAACCCTAAACCCTAAACCCTAGCTAAACCCTAAACCCTAAACCCTAAATTCTGGAGCGAGCTGAGCACAACTGACGACCGCCCTAGGGGTTGGTGCTGGGACCCGATTCTTCCGAACACCGCCCCCTGAGGTGGTGGGAACCCTTCGGAGTTGATAATATAGGGGCCTTAAGAATCAGAATAGGTTTTTGGGGCCCATTATGCTATATTTATACAATTATCTTGGTAATTATCCAAGCCCCTATGTTAAAGGGATCGGGGGGATGCCGGGGCTTTGCGGCATCAGACGCCAGCTATAAGCCTTCTGAAACCGATCGCCGCCGAACGAAGCGCCGGGAACACCCGAACCCGACTGATGCTTTGCTGGGCATTCCTCCGCCGAGACCTAGGTGGGTACGGCAAGATTTTCGTCAGTGACCTCGCACTTGGGTGTTGCGCAAAGCCGCCGCGACGACATGGAAGCCCTCGGCTATCTGCTCCTTGGGCCTTTTTGCGGGGTGTTGAGGGCTTTCGGCAAAGCTCCTGTTAACAAGGCCATTATGGCCACCATCTTGAAAATGTATATACAATCAGTACATACACACACATATATACAGATACATATATATATATAAGGTATTTATACACGTTTGTTTGTTTTTGTTCATAGTTATATGTTTATATGTATGCATGTATGTATATATATATACAAATGTGTATATAACTGTGTAGTTATTAGGTTTGTATTTGTTTGCAACCTACACCTACACACCTTCATGTGCTTGGAGAGGGGGAGGGAGAGCGAGAAACAGAGAAACAACAACCACCGATAGGCGAGTTGAGTCACCGGGGTGACCTAGGCCATCCAGGTACTTGTACCACGCAAAACCACCTTGAGCCTAAACTTAAACCCTATAAAATCTACACCGAATCACACACCCGAAGAGCCCTAAAGCCATGAGGCTTCAAAGCCCAAAACCCTGTAGGCCCCATATGCCCTGTAAGCCTTACCAAACCTGGCATAAAACCCTCACAGCCTTGAGGCCCGATTCCTTAAACCCTAAACCCTAAAGCTCTATAAAGCCCTACACAGCCCCAAAACCCAAAAGCCCTGAAGCGCTCGAGGTTGCTCAACCGTAAACCCTACACCCCTGTAGTACCCTTATAGGACCCCTTTCAAAGGAATGCTTCAAGGACCCTTTTTCAGCCCCAGGTTGCTGAACCCTAAACCCTGAAGCTCGAGGCTGCTCTACCTGCGACGTGGAAGACTGCCATGGCAAGGCCTGGGCACGGCGACGGAAGAGGCGAAATACGACCCTCTGATTGAAAGTTTAAGTTTAGGGTTCCCAAAATCAAAAGGGTTTAGGGTTTGGGGTTTTGGGGTTTAGGGCTCCTAAAAGGGTTTACGGAATGTGGGTTGGGTTCAAAGTTTTGGGGTTTCGAGCCGAAGGGGGGGTGTAGCGAGTTCTGAACCTGGTGCCCCTTGCGCTATGCAAGGAGCGGATTCTCGATGCCAAGATGTCGGCGGCCCAGTACATATCCAGTGAACCCTAAACCCCAAACCCCTAAACCCTAACCCCTAAACCCTAAGTCGAAGTACTGGGAAGCCTGAACTCCCATTCCGATGCTTACATTGCCGCAAGCTCTCGACTGGAAGAGTTGAAACCAGGGTGTGACGTCCACAAACCCGAATCTAATATAGGGGCCTTAATAGTTACCTAAACTACTTTGCAGGTTCCTTATTATAGTCATAGTCGAATATACCCCCAAAAGCCCTATTCTAATTATTAATGCCCCTATAGTAGNNGGTTTGGGGCTTATAGGGTTTAGGCCACTTCCTTTCCGGAGTCAGGTTCCAATGTGCTTTTGGGTGTCTTCAATTTGAGTTTGTACAGTCGGAGTTGTTTTTTGCTCTTAGGTTTCGGGTTGTCAGTTCCTGAAGATTGAACGTGAGGTTGAGTTAACAGTTTTGGGTCTAGATCTAATATAGGGGCTTGAATTATAACCTACGCTTATTTTTTTTTTTTTTTTTTTTTT